TTCTTATAAATTTGATTTCAATCCCTTGACAAATTTGGATAATTGCACTGTTTCTATTGATTGTGAGGAATTTAAGAAGTTCTCTTGAGAACAAGAGTGAGCATGGCGAGATTTGGTTACAGCCTAGTTATATCTGATGTATGTTTTAAGCCATGTTTGATTAGTAAGATCTTGGGCAGGTTTTATTTGAAGTTATAACAGTTTTGTTACTGACTCTAGTTACAAAGGAGTTCCTTCAACTTTTGAACCCTTTACGAGTATAAAGAGTATAGTTTCACATAAGACTCAAGGATCAACTTTGATTCTTTCATTGTGACAGGAATTTGCAGATGCCACACCCCTAGTTAAATAATGGTTAATTGCTTTTATTGGATTGAGCTCACAATGGGATATTGAGTTGAATTTTAATCAGTGTCCACAAAAGAAAGCCGATCGAGCTAGTTGTTCAAATCATGTGGCCTCTATAAAGGCAGTAGTAGGCATCGTAAGTTTATGAAAAATGCAAGGCAACGAGGATGGCAATGGGGTGTTTACTTTTGCAAAAGGGTACAATTCATGAACTTACTCAAGGTCTTAGTATAATAAAATTACAGATATGGAGGTTAATAAGATGATGCTTACTAGCAAGGATCTCATTACATTTTATCTACATTTGTATGTATCATACATGTATAGGTAATATATGACTCAGGTGAGCATTTCAGCTCTGGGTCCTCTTGTTTGACCACTTAACAACATGCATGTTAGCAAACTTGCCAGAGTATTTACAAATATTTTGAAAGAGTACAAAAAACATGCAGTAGATGTAACAGTATCAAGTATGATAAATTTTCTGCACAAAAACCACAGCTTTGGATTGGCTATGACATTACAAACCTCTCAGTTTTTGACACATTGATAACTGTACCTGCCCACTCGCTGATTCACAAAATATAAAATGATAACCTCTTTTCTCAATCATTTTGTCATTGAGAAAATAAAAGGAGATTTGAAAGGAAAGAATTTAATTAGCAATCTTGTTTAACCCTTTGATGTCCTATAGAGAAGAAACAATTTTCTGTATGGGGGTAAATGGAATTCCATTAGAGCAGGTTTTCCTTGGTAGAGGAGGTTTGTCCTTGTTGGAGGTTTATCAGTGACATCAGAACCACAGAGTGGAGGGAGTCAATGACAGATTCCTCGTGTCGGCTGATTATGTCGGGGGAGATCTGATTATGTGGGGGGAGATCGTGCGATATTCTGAGTCAGTTTTTGTACAGCTACCTGTTTTCTGCCCCCTCTCACCACCGACTGTGACACATTCCAAAATATATGTAATATCTGGCTGTCCCAGCACCGAAATATTCTGATATTCATTTATCTACCGGTAATGAGTGTCCAGTATTATATAGCCTTAAGTTATTCTAGCCTTAAAGCTTATTCTTACATTAGTGTCCCATCTAAATTAATTAGGTTTTTATATTAAGATTCAGTAAAAATTTATACTGTACTTTTCTATTTCCTATTAACCAATAAAAGGACCTTATAATCAGTAATTCTCCACGAAGTATGTATAATTTGTGTTGATGGTAGCAATTCTGATTTTCAAATAGAGTTATCTCTCTTTGAATGTTTCGCTAAAAAAATATGTGTACCCTGCATCTGTTACTTTTCTTATTCATCAGAAAGTTAATAATTTCGTTTTATTGAATCAGGAGGAATATGAAGTGACGGATACAGACAATGCGGTCAAGGTTCACACAGACAAGCCCCATCTGGTCAGTTTGGGAAGTGGACGCCTCTCTACAGCGGTCACCATACTGCCACTACAAGAGGGTACACTCTGTCTCAGAATCACACCAAATAAAAGAGAATATATTAGTCTTATTTAGAGTATTAAGTATACATTATTTTAGCAACATACATGCATCTATTTGGTTTTTTTCACAAATATTTACATGTATATTTTACATTACAAACTGAAGATAATTCATTATGATAATTTTGATCCCAATTATATTTTAATAGAGCCTAAGAGGCATTAACAGACCTGTTTACTCTTACGATTTCGCCGTATTTTGTACGGATTTTTAATCCAAAATACGTCTCACGTTTTGCAATTATGAAAATACGGAAATAAGAAATACACTTGTTTAGAGTTGAGAAGTCAGTTTTTCTTATGGTCTGTCCCATTTTCACGCTTTTTAATCGCTAAAAAAAATCAAACACATGCAGTTATGTCGGTTTGCCAAAACACCGTGGTATAAGACCATGTTATTAAACTTTTTTTTAGAAATCAGAAAAAGCAGTTGTTCTCCATTTATATATGTAAAATTGATGGAAAGTGAAATCTTACTGGCAAATGCCAAATCTCACGGATAAATCTAATCAAAAATACTGAGAGACAACGATACAGGTAAACAGGTCTGCATTAAGAATTGAGTGCATTTTCTTTATAAGATTCAGTGCTGTGTAAAGTATGCCCCAGTCTGTTTAAGAGATATATTTATGTGCAAATTATATTTCCCTAAAGAACTTGTATTAACTATACAATTGAGGTTATCTTGTAATATATATGATGTGAGACTACCTGTACTAACAGACTGACTACATGTTTGTAGGTAGGACAGACATCGGTACCTACGATTCCCCCAGTGAGCCAGACATTATTATTCAGGGGACAGGGGTGGAGCCAGAACACTGCTATATCGACAACATCCACGGAGTGATCACACTGTATCCCCTCGCCAAGATGTGTGCTGTGGACGGGATTCTCGTCACTGAACCCACCAGACTTCCCCAGGGTCTGTATGCTGTTATTTAGTTGTATACTGGTTGTAGATCAGCCAGGTTAGGCTTCCTTAAGTTGTCAGTCATCCTTCTATCTAATTACTTACCCTCTACAATGGAAGGGAACATCAAAATAGAACTGGTCGCCCAGTGACGCAGTGGTTAGAGTTTCTGCTCTAGAGTCGTGAAGTAAGGAGTTAATCCTTACATCTTGGGTTTGAATCCCACTGGGGTATGTGGAGAACGGTCCTTCAGATGGGACCCTATGAATAAAGGCCCTGTTTTTACAGTAGGTGCTTTAAAAGGATCCCTTTCTGCTCAATGGCTGAAAGTGCCGAGTATAGGACAAAATTTGCAGCTCTCCACCAGTAAATGGTGGTGTCTCCATTTGAGTGAAAAATTCTCACAAAAAGGGACATTAAACAACATACAAACAAACAAAAAAATAGAAGAGCAGAGTTATTTTCGCCCCATGTTATTTTCAAGCTTTTTTTTACTTGCAAGCAATTTAGTCCCATATTTATTCATCAGGAGACAGTTATGTTTAGAGATAATGCTGTTTCATTTAATTTACCAAATTTTAAAAGAAGTAAAATTTACCTAGATGCAATTACATTATTTTTGCCTCATTATTTTCATGCTTTTTCATTTGCAAACAATTAAGTCCCATTTTAAATTCATCAAGAAACAGTCATATTAAAGAGTTAATGCTGTTTTCATTTAATTGACCAAATTTTTAATTTGTTCAGTGCATTTTTACAGAGTTGTCCTTCTTGACATAAAAAATCAATTGTAAATCAGTACCGAGTTTTACTCTTTATATTATATCTAGAAAAAGTTTATTTTTAGAACAATATGTTGCATTTATCTGAAATAAAATGCTTCAGATTTGTTTTCTTCTGAATTCCATTGAAGCGATGGGCATGATAGCATGTTTTTAAGTAAATCTAATATCCCTCAATGCACAGATGTGATCTTAGCTGCACCTACATGATAGGTGTTAGGTAACTCAACATAAACATTTGTTGATATCACAACATCAGAAATAGGGGACCCAAAACAATAAGATCTTTGGGATGGCTTATATATGAGCTGGTACCCACTGGTACACTAAATAAATCTTGTCACTGAGATTAATACATCCATATCAAAAAGGAAACTTATAAGCTTGTTTCTGCTTTAATTGTGAAAGTTGAGCATTCCAGTTGATACATGTCTGTGAGGTAAAACAGTTTTGTACTTGAAGCCTGAGATGAAATTGATAGAAAAGAAACAAACCTCTTTGTCTGTGAGCCCCACCCTGGTATTGGCAGATTGTATGGTTGATGCATGTGATATCTAGTAAATAACAGCTGATTCAATTAATCACATCAAGGAATACATTTTTATAAGAAAGAAATTGTTTATTGAGAGTTCTATCTGTCTGTTAAGTGTCAGAGTGATGACTTTCTAATAGAAACTGTTTGGCTCAGCGTATTCACAAATCTCCCAACAGAATGAGCAGTATCCTTCTTTGTATACATTTGAATTAAAATATCCATCTTTAGGTACTAAAAATAATGTTAGATTGAAGAAAAGTCATAATCCTTGCTATATATTGCTGTTTGATTATTTGAAAATTTGAGAAGTTCTACAAGTTCATATTTTACTCATCATTTTATCAGTAGAGTTACCTATATGGCCAACATATTTTAAAGAAATCCATCCCAAAATAAATCATAATGCTGCCTAAGCTGTGTTTTTTCTACTACTCATTTTTCCTTGTCCAGTATTTTACCCTAGATGAATGTCCTACCGTAAGTTTTTGCATCTTTCTTTATAGCTAAATGTTCCATATTTGCTTAAGTCTGTCTTCCTCAGATACATGTTCTTGGCTAAATGAAGATAGAGTTTGTTTAACAGCTCCATTGTTTAGTAATTTTTAGTCCTACAGTGCCTGAGTTTACAGAGGTATGACTTTTGGCAGTTTTTCTTCAAGTGCTGCTTTTGACTCCATTGCTTTCGGATAAATTTTTGGGGGGTACATAGTTTTAACATAGATGCAGATGACTCATTGTAATATTAATCAGACAAGCATGTACGAAATTAATTCTTTATTTTATCATAAATGTTTCAGTCGGACTTTGCCTCACTTAATAAAAGACATGTTCATGGAGGTGAAGAGTGCAGTGTGCTTTTATTCCTAAACAGTGAAGTAAACAGATGTAAAACTGATCGGTAATAACTCAGCTCAGGCCCCTGTTATCTTGGGTTCCTCAGTGTTCCTATTACCAGAATCTCTTAAAAGATGCTCAGACCTATTGAGATAAATCATATTTCTTCTTCAGGTTTTGTAAAGTAATGTGAGCTGTTCAAAACAATCTTTATAAATTGATCATAGAATCAAGTAAAACTTTTTAAAAATTTCGGAATATTGGAACAAAGCTATATTTCTTTTTTAACATTATTTCATTTAAAATCTCTGATACTAGGGAATTTTTTCCAACAACTTTCAATTAAGGTTTTTAGACCAATTATAAAAGTGATTGTTTTATTGTCTTACTGGCTGAGCCTGGTCAATTCTTGACTCATTTGAAGTTTCCTTGAGGGGCTTTGCTATAATTACAGTAGCAGCAACTCCCTCTCCAATCTGTGGTGGTCGTTATTTTACTCACAAGTAACTCATTACCATTCCTGTGGAATAATTAATTTCTAACAAAGAAATTGGAAAGAAAAATGACAGCTTTGGTGGCAGAGGGAAATTTTGAAATGGATGGACAAAGAATATTCAAAGAAAGTCTTCATGGAATTTTTAACCCTGAGATTTTAGGACAATTTTGAATTGTCATCATTTGTTGTTGCACATCTTAGTCATTGAAAATGCAAAAAAAAAAAAAATGAAAATAGAACGATTCCTGTTTATAATCTAAATTATGGTCTGTCCCCACCTCTCTCTCTCTCTCTCTCAAAGAAAAGAAGAAAGGATACATAAAAATACTTGTGGCCTAGAGATCTGCTTTTTCACTGAAGGGGAGATCTGTATTTCTAATGACCCAGCTATCTATAACCCAAGCATATAGCACTGGGTGCTTATTAGAGTTCATTATTTATCTATCAGATCTCGAACCATATGGAGGGGATTAACTCAGAAATGTAAAAATCTTGTTTTTGTTTCAAAAAAACATGGTACAAAATACAAATGGAATCGTGTGTCACTGATAGATTATGGTAGAGTTTGAGAGAGGTCTAATAATAGCACACAGACTCGAGGTACCTGTGTTATTTATTGGAATTATTAATACAGTGATAACCTTGTTGGTATAGGTGTGCTATCAAGGAGAAGCGGGATTCGGAAGGGGGTTATCTTGTAAAGGTGTATTTAACATCCTCATGAAAAAATAATCCCTCGATATCATATGCCAAGTTAGAGAAATGTTTCAGTGATATAAAAATTGAACTGACATGAGGAAGTGAGATGTGTTTGTTTAGTGTCTTGAAACACTTTGTCCTAGTTTGAACTTCTGTATTATAAAATGTCTACTGTGACTGGTGAAGGAAAAAAGTAGAGGGATAATGGGGAAACTTGAGATATATTTTCCGTCAACACTGTAGCCATTGGACATAAATCCCACAATGAGATATTGACAAATTTATAGAAAAATTACTTTGGAAATTCTTGTCATTTTTCTGGAGATTCCTAGTTGTAAGAAGCTTTAGTTGTGTGATTGATTGGACATTAGAACGAAATGGAGAAAACTCACTTCACAGTCACAGCAAAGGCTGAAGTTTGTCATACTAATGCAGATAAAAGTAAGATCTTTTAATGATTTTTTTTTTTTTTTTTTTTTATTTTTTTTTTTTTTCAAATTGATTTTTTTTTCATTTATTTATTTAATTTAAGCACTATTGAATTTAAATAATAACGGTAATAGCAATACATTGAGAAGTTTTCATGAATGGATCGAAAACTTCCGAGACCTTTAAAATCTTATTGTGTGGGGAAAACTTTTTACTCTGAAGTCATTGCGTCAAATTTCTAACCTGCGTCTTACTTTATATAATAAATATTAAAAAAGTTGCTGATATGCCCCATCCAAATATCTTTTGACTACAAGTAAGTACATTTTGTGTCAAATGGAAAGAAGTTTTAGCAGTCATTTTCAAAATGACAGTCAACTAGATAGGGTTAGACAAACCCAACCATTAGCCATTATGACTTATGCAGATTTTTTTTGAGAATCAAAAAGTACAGGGGGGGGGGGATGAAAAATGTGTGTCTTGGGGAGGTAGGTTGAGGTCCTTTATTACTTACTACATTAATTTTTTGAAAACAGGCTAGGCATCTACAGTCGGGGGCCAAGGGGACCAGCCTTTGGAAACTTCAGTTTGTTAATCATATTTAGAACAGTTTTGCAAGATATTTTGGCTATGATTGTTGTACTGCTAGCAGCTACTTCAGTCTTTGTCCCCAGGAACTGACTCTGTAATCTGTAATTTGTAGGGTTTTTTAGTGCTTATGAATCCTTTCTTTTGATGTTGACTTTCTGATCTTGTCCAGTTTGTTACAAACTTGCTCCTTACTTTGGCATTTTCCTGGTTTACATTTAAACAGAGGGATAAATATTTCACTCCGAGGGCTGTGTTGTAACAATTTCCAGGTTTTCAGTTCACTGCAAATCATAAACAATCCACCCAACCTTATAGATTTACAGAACAACAAAGGATTGCATATTGAAAGTGTTTTGGTATAATAGTGGGCTTTCCTAGTGTTTGGATCCCTTCAGCCTTTTGTTTTGTCTTGCGAAAATGAACATAAAATGATTTTGATTTAAAGTGCATTGTAGATTGTCTTTGAACTTTTTGATAATTATGTTTATAGAAAAACAATGGAGTCTTAGGGTCTAAATCTTTTCCTTGTAAGTTAATTTGTATATGAAACATAGAATTCAGGTATTACAAGCTTTGTCATGGCACTTTGATCAAAGTGATCGAAGTAAATCATTTTATTTTTTCATTAATTCTGTAAGTATTAGGG